TATCAATGAACAGCTTTAGCGCTTACTTGTTCTGATTGCAGGGTTGACTGGGGAGCCGTCATCATTGGTGAGCTGCACCCTCACTCTCCCCACCTGGAAGAAATCCCGCGGATACGCCTTATCCAACTGCATATACACCATAAGCAGTCCAAACATCAACGACCGTATGAACCTAAGGAAGAACAGAGGGAATACCAGGCTGCAAAAATTCAACAAAAAGACGGGGGGAGAAACGATATGGGTACCTCGATGGCGCGAGGGATCTTGAGGTAGGCGCAGCTGTCGGCGATCTCGATGCAGGTGGGGTCGGGGCAGGCCTTGGCGGCGGCGATGCGGCGGCCCTCGGCGACCGTCTTCTTGGAGTTGAGGTACACCGGGTAGATGATCTTCCACTTCTTGATGCTGCTCCTCAGGTCGGCGCCGCTGCCGCTGCCGCCGGCGTCCATCTCCGCGCGATTCGGGTCGGGGAAGGTGCAGATCCTGGTGCAAGAAGCAAAGAGGTAAAGAGGTAGAGCGCGCGAGGTTAATGCGGTTCTCGGTCGTGGTCGGGTCAGGCCATGGAAGAAGGGAGCTCCGGTGCGTACCGGGAGATCTGGCGACTCGTGTTTCCCTCAAACAAGACACGGGGGTGGACGCGACGGTGATGACGATGATGAAGCGCACTGTAGGACTTTGATCTAAAAAAAACGAAACGTACAAACTTTCATGAAAAATATATTTCTTTTTTTTTTGCGGGGTATGAAAAATATATTTCGAAAACGTACAAACTTTTCATGAAAACTCAGCTGTGAATCTGCGTACAAAAAACAAATTTTCATGTTTACAATTTACTTTCTAATAGAACACTTAAATTTGTTTACTGTCAGTAGTAGAATTTTTTTTTACACATTACTGTCAGTAGTAGATGTATTCGAGAAAAAAAAAGTAGTAGCTGAGCTGTTTCAAAAAGAAAGTCAGGGGTGGGCCAATATTGAAAACAGTTCATATGATTATTATTCTTTCATTTTCTTAAACCTTGCAACCAAGGGTGAAGAGGCGCATCTTTGCGCTAAACAAGCCTCACAATATAGAAGAAGGTGTTTATGGATTAACTATGTACTCCCTTCGTGAAGAAATATAAGAGTGTTTAGATCACTTCTTAGTCCTCTGCCTGCTGAACAATTGTAATCACGTTTGTTTAAATGGATGAAAGCTCTTGAGTTGTAAAAAGAAAAATCCTATAGTGGGTTGTGGCCCACCGGCCACCCCTACCTCCCCCGGGATGTTTTTTTCTTTTTTCTTTTGCAAAAAAAGACAATAAGCATATCTCTATATAGACGCCTGAGACAGTGATTATTTGAAAAGAATAAGCACATATGTCCTCACACACGCAACAAGAGCCAGTCCGTCCCACTCTTGTACCCTTTCATTTTCTCGCTCTTGTTTATAGCATAAACAAAATGACCGAGAATCAAAAATTGCTTCGAGAGAGTCCCGCATCGTTCGTTCGGGCGACATGGGAGGCAACTAGGGTTTCCTCTAGTTTCGTCATCCTTTTTTGAAAGTGCATTTATCTCTAAATGGTTTTTTGACATGAAGACAATGTGTTTAGTAGAACCAATAATGATGGTTATTAAGTTTTATCTCATGTCATTGATTCATCAGATATTTAATGTGGAAATGGTTGACCCCTTACTTCAATATCAAAGCGTAGTGTCTAGCATCAAAGATTTTGTTTCAATTTTATTGACTTGTAGAACAACCGCAGTACCAAGAAGGTCAATGTGTTTGAGTGATGGTGTGAGAACACCCTAACATAAAAACACTAGCCTTCCTACACGTACCACCAAAAAAGAGCTCTTCACTCTTTGTGTTTATATCCTCAGTGCCCAGTGGCAAGAGCACAGCTGTGTGCCTTGGCATTCCCAAGTTCGAATCCTGTGGAGTGGAATTTATTTCGCAGATTTAAAACTTGGTGTCTCACACCTTCATTCCTAATAATAATGCCGCAGGGCTCCACCCTCGTTGGTCCAATATACCTTTAGTGCCTGATGAATGTGCGCAACGGTCATTTGTGAGGGGCACTGATACGTCCATTTTGCATCATGCTTTTATATCAATATTTATTGCATTATGGGCTGTTATTACACATTATATATCAATACTTATGGCTATTCTCTCTTATTTTACAAGGTTTACCATGAAGAGGGGGAATGCCGACAGCTGGAACTCTGGCTGGAAAAGGAGCAAACGTTGGAAACCTATTCTGCACAACTCCAAAAGTCCTGAAACTCCACGAAACAACTTTTTGGATTTAATAAGAATTTATGAGCGAAAGAAATAGGCCAGGGGGCCCACACCCTGTCCAGGAGACAGGAGGGCCCCCCCTGTAGGGCGCAGCCCCCTATCTCTTGGGCCCCTGGTGGGCCTCCGGCGTCCATCTTCTGCTATATCATCACTTTTACCCTAGAAAAAATCGTGGGCAAGCTTACGGGATGAAACTCCGCCGCCACGAGGCGGAACCTTGGCAGAATCAATCTAGGGCTCTGGCGGAGCTGTTCTGTCAGGGACACTTCCCTCCGGGAGGGGGAAATCATCACCAACATCATCACCAACGATCCTTTCATCGGGAGGGGGTCAATCTCCATCAACATCTTCACCAGCACCATCTCCTCTAAAACCCTAGTTCATCTCTTGTATCCAATCTTGTATCAAAACCACAAATTGGTACTTGTGGGTTGCTAGTAGTGGATATTACTCCTTGTAGTTGATGCTAATTGGTTTACTTGGTGAAAGATCATATGTTCAGATCCTTTATGCATATTATTACTCCTCTGATTATGAACATGAATATGCTTTGTGAGTAGTTACATTTGTTCCTGAGGACATGGGTGAAGTCTTGCTATTAGTAGTCATGTCAATTTGGTATTTGTTCGATATTTTGATGAGATGTATGTTGTCTTTCCTCTAGTGGTGTTATGTGAACGTCGACTACATGACACTTCACCATTATTTGGGCCTAGAGGAAGGCATAGGGAAGTAATAAGTAGATGATGGGTTGCTAGAGTGACAGAAGCTTAAACCCTAGTTTATGTGTTGCTTCGTTAGGGGTTGATATGGACCCATATATTTAATGATGTGGTTAGGTTTACCTTAATACTCCTTTTTGTAGTTGCGGATGCTTGCAATAGGGGTTAATCATAAGTGGGATGCTTGTCCATGTTAGGGCAGTACCCAAGTGTCGGTCCACCCACATATCAAATTATCAAAGTACCGAACGCGAATCTTATGAACGTGATGAAAACTAGCTTGACGATAATTCCCAATGTGTCCTCGGGAGCTCCTTCTTCATTATTAGAATTTGTCCAGGCTTATCCTTTGCTACATAAAGGATTGGGCCACCTTGCTACACTTTATTTACTTTATTTACTTTTTCCTCGTTACTATTTATCTTATCACAAAACTATCTATCACCTACTATTTCAGTGCTTGCAGAGAAAACCTTACTGAAAACCGCTTATCATTTCCTTCTGCTCCTCGTTGGGTTCGACACTCTTACTTATCGAAAGGACTACGATAGATCCCCTATACTTGTGGGTCATCAGGCACCCTTCTTCCACCTCCAACCCTAACTCTTATCTATCAATCCCTGCACTCAAACACTTTGATACTTTGAGTATTGAGGGAGCAAAGCCTGATTAACAACTTGACCAAACCAATTAGTGTTCCCCTCAAGATTTCTTCAACAACTTGTTACTCCTGGAGCTTGGGCTCCTAGTCAGTCATGATTCCTTTAAAAGCTTCCCGCTTGTGGTGTGGCTCGGAGATGTATGTAGAGGCATGACAGTCATCTTCAAGACCAGTCACGAGCGATTCGAGGCTCCATTGAGGTGACTCGAGGAGAATAAAGTGAGCCACTTGATGACGTTCCAGAGCCTTGGCAGCAACACTGCTCCAACGAAGACTAGCACTTTCTCAAGGAAGTGTGGACCGCGGGATAAAATCCACGTCCATGACTCACTTATGGTTATTCTTTCCCCGCACTTTACTTTGCATTGCATACTTGTGGGCTTGCTAATTATACAGTTGTATAGCTCACATTGCTTCGAACTTGCTTGTGATATAGGTTGTGTTCGCATTTCTATAGAACCTCATTTGTCAGCAAATCCCTAAAACTGACAATTAAGCTTGAAATTTGCAACCTCCTATCCCCCCCTCTAGTGGACCGTATCGATCATTTGACCTTCCCCTCCTCCTCTCCCTTTCCACCACCAAAGGAGGTCATCGGCAAGGTTGTGGGTCGCACGTGACGGTAACGACGATGATCGTGTCACTTTGTCCCATCATTATGTTTGAAACTCATATGTGAACACTGGCAGATGTGAAGATAGAACTCAGAGGTGGAAGCAACATAACTCGGAGTGATATATAGAATTAGGGTGACGCTACGCATCCGGCGGCGGATTATTTTCAAAGATCCGCCGCCTTCATGGCCATTTGATCTAGCGCATCCATCGACCCGGCTCTTTTCTCACAATTGCAACAAAGGCAATGTTGTTGAACCGTTTGCGCATATGTCTTGTTGCGGAAATTTTGATATTTTGTTGTAGATTTTTTTTCGCGTTAACTTTTTTGAAACATGAGTGTCATTGCGGACGGACTTAACTATTTTCTGCAACAAGGCGCATGTTACAAAAAAATTCTGCAATAAGACCCTTTAATGCGGAGCATCCTACGGTCATCCCCATGGACACTACTTCGACTACTCAAGCTCCAAGTGGACCCATGACAAGAGCTCGAGCACGTGCTATTCAATCCGAGGTTAACTCTCTCCTTGTTGAACTTCCCTTTGACCCACTTGAGACATGGCTACTACCTCAAACGAAGATGCTTTGTGTGATTAGGTACCAAGAAGGCAACCAAGGAGAAGTTACGGTGCAAGATGAACATCAAGAGCATGTAGACGATCTGCCCAGCCCAGAAGGACCGGAACAACCGCCCAACCACCGCCCGGGCAGAACAACCGGCCAGCTACCGCCCAACAACCGGCCCACCTTCTGTGATCGAGCAGAGCAAGGCCGGTGCTGCACCGGTTTTACCGGTTTCTGCCAAAAGACCGGAACAACCGCCCCGACGACCGAAACAACCGCTGCCCCTTCGGCGCACACCTCCAGAACCAGCGCCTGGGCTTCCAGCGGATCTACCGCCCCCGCCTGACCGGTACTACCGTCCCGCACGAGCTCTCAGCGGAACTATCGGCCACATGACCGATACTACTGGCCTGCCCGCGCGCAGTGCAAGGGTTTTTCGCCCCATGTATCCTCTCCCACTTACCCCTTTGTGGCTTAGCACTATATATACTTGTCTCCTAGCTTCGTATTAGGGTTAGCATTGGTTTAGCTCATTTGAGATAGAGCATTGCTCATCCGTACCGGATCTACTCCTCGTGAGGGACCGCACCTCTTCG